GGTCGCTCTTCCTCGAGAGCTATCTACCTGTTCACATGTTTTCTTACGAGTAGATTCGGTACGCAAACCTTGGCAACAACCTTACGAAGGCTCATTTCACGTGATCGCTCGTCACGAAAAGACCTTCAAGGTTGATCGATATGGACGCGTCGAGATCGTCAGCATTGATCGTCTCAAATCAGTACACGTCGATGACAGTGCCCTATCTGATACCCTGAGATTCAATGTTAGACCTATCAAACCTAGCGGGATCCTCAAACCATCTTCAGGTCCCACGCGAGATACACCTGAGACCTCATTCTCACGTCCCGGTCAACAGCACGCGTCATCTGCACTATCTACGGACGAGACAACAGTCTCACGTCCAGATCAGCAGACCACGCAGCCTTTGACTTCGGATGAGATTGCAGGTTCACGCGACGCGAACGAGACTACCGTCTCACGTTCCGGTCGCCGAGTACGGTTGCCCGTACGCTTTCGTGACTAGCCGCACAGTCAACAACCGATACGGTGTAGGACTATTCCTATACTACACGCATGCTACACTCTTCTCTCTTTTGATTTTCCTTTTGTTTCCTGAGCCCACGCCTTCGACCATCTCAGTTTGGTTCCGCCGACTTCAGTCAACCTTGGCGAAAGCTGGAATGGCCACCCACGCTCTTGTCAACGCACTCAGTCGATATATTGGTTTGAATGTTTGGCACACGCTTGGTCTCGAATTTGGTCGTTGCGGCCGCTTTTGGCTCAACGTGGTTTCGTCCTACGTCTGTAGCGTTTCTGGTCCGCATTCCTTACGAACGCCATCTTCAGATTCTGGATACAAACCACTCGTGTAGCATGCCAACTCAAGCAACAAGCACAGTACATCGATTCTGGTACCGTTCTCCGAAAATAACCTTCGTTGGCAACTCGACGATCAATAATCGCTTTCCTGTTCGCCAATCCGTTCGTCCTACAAACGCTCGTCAGACGATCAGTCCCACGGTTTAAACCGTTATTAATCGAAAGTGTAAACCCTTTCTAGCGGGGGGCTCATCTAGTGACTTACATTTATCACGAGAACACGACTGATTTAATAAAAACAATTATTACTATAAACAGTTGTACCAGTGTTTGTTTTAATGTGCTTTTGTTTGACTGTGCTAATGACAGCTATATTGGGCTTCCATTCTTGTCCACACACTTCGATTGTAACTTCGCGCGAATTCGGTTACCTTCTGTAACCAAGCTTGTAACCTGGCACGATCTCGGTATCCCTTCGATACCACGAGATCGCCAGTGAATAAATCTTGACTTGGTCCATTTTCTGCCTTCTGATATTTGGCTTCTCGGGGTTTTTATGGAGTCATTTGAATTGAGCTTCATGGTAGCGGTGTTCATAGTCAATCTCGACTCGACGCCACGCTACAATTGGTGATCCCAAAGTTTGGAACACGCCTCAACCTCCGGCGAAATCTTCCAAAGAAGCCAGTTTGGTGAGTCTGTTATTTATCTATACACGTCTGTCGTATATTTTCATATTACCTTTTAATATATAATATACTCGACATGACGGATAACGATAAGAATAGTATTAATATAATAGACTTCCACGTATGTGTACCGAATCCTTGTCACTTTTTATTCGCGTGACGGTAAATCTCACGCTTTCGATTCTCCTCGCTGACCCGGCTGCTTGGTACGGAATGCATACACATAAGCATATCCGTCTACCACCCAGCACCAAATGGTTAAGTTGATCGGTTTCACTGCCAACTTAAAAGTGCTCTACGAGCCCACGAAAATAGCAACTGGCACGGAACCTTACCGCTCGTTATTTTAGGGATCGGAACGAGCTTAAAGGCAGATATCCAATGTTCCGCCGCTGAACTTGTATACGGCACAACATTGCATCTGCCCGGAGAATTCTTCACACCACGGAGCAGACCTGATTTCGGTAAATCAGACTACGTCCATCGACTGTCTGCATTTATGCGAACGCTGTCTCCGGTGTCAACTCGAATACAACATCGACAGGTCGCTCTTCCTCGAGAGCTATCTACCTGTTCACATGTTTTCTTACGAGTAGATTCGGTACGCAAACCTTGGCAACAACCTTACGAAGGCTCATTTCACGTGATCGCTCGTCACGAAAAGACCTTCAAGGTTGATCGATATGGACGCGTCAAGATCGTCAGCATTGATCGTCTCAAATCAGTACACGTCGATGACAGTGCCCTATCTGATACCCTGAGATTCAATGTTAGACCTATCAAACCTAGCGGGATCCTCAAACCATCTTCAGGTCCCACGCGAGATACACCTGAGACCTCATTCTCACATCCCGGTCAACAGCACGCGTCATCTGCACTATCTACGGACGAGACAACAGTCTCACGTCCAGATCAGCAGACCACGCAGCCTTTGACTTCAGATGAGATTGCAGGATCCCTCGGCTGCAATATATGGGCCAGGCGGGAGCTGTGGGAAAAACGGTACTGGAAAGCGTTGATATATTAATTCGAAAACGCGTACGTCAGTGGTTGGGATTACCACACGATACGTGTAATAGTTATCTTCACGCGCGGATACGTGACGGAGGTCTCGGGGTCGAACCCCTATATCCGCTCATAGCTGTAAGACGATCCTGTCGACTGCAATCGATACACTCGAAGGATTGTACACTATTGCAAATTATACGGCAATCGAAAGCATACAAGCGATTCGAAGGCAAATTCTTGGGTGGTGTGACTCTTGGCAGGCAGGTGATAGCAAAACCTGATGACCTTTATGATGCGTTGAAAACGCGAATGTATGGCACCCTAGATGGTGGGGGCCTTAAAGTTTCCAGCCTGAGCACATCATCACACCTATGGGTCACGTCCCCGAAAGGGATGTTTCCGTGGATATATCGCAAAGCCATACAACTACGAGGCCACACCTTAAAAACGAAGGCAAGGGCATCAAGGGGCGGAAGATCCTGCGGTGATCTTTGGTGCAAAGGCGGGTGTAGGAAGACAGAGTCCTTGATGCATATCCTCCAGGAATGCAAACTCACCCAAAGACTGCGTATTGCTCGGCACAATCGAGTGATGCTGCAGCTGGAAGGTTCCCTGAGGCGGGCGGGCCTCTCAGTTATACGGGAGCCTTACATCTGTAAAGGTAAGAGTTACGTGAAACCGGATCTGGTGGTAAGTGCTAAAGGTAAGATTTTTGTATTGGATGTAATAATATGTAATGACAACCGACTATCACAATCATGGAACGCAAAGATACGAAAGTATGATACACACGACCTAAATGAGAAATTCAGACGGGTATGTAACCTTCATAAAGCATCGGTCCACCATTTACCGATAGCTATCACTATGCGCGGGTTAATTGATGGGCGGTCAGAAAAAGGCCTGAGAGAAATGGGATTGACCAAGAAGGCAATATCATGGCTATGCGAACAGACAATCATAGGATCATTGATAAGCTATGATGCCTATATGAATGACTCGTTAGCCCGAACAGTCAGGCGATAATGTAGTAGCAAATACCCAACCAGAGGCAGGACTGTATCCGCCCCACTGGTTTGAATATGGCATGCACCTGGCTTCGTGCTGGACTGTATGTACCCTGGCCTGATGGTATTACCCTAGGCTCCAGTGGTTTGAATATGACATCACCTGGCTTCGTGTTGGGCTGTATGTACCCTGGCCCGGTGGTATTACCCTGGGCTCCAGTGGTTTGAATATGACATGCACCTGGCTTCGTGTTGGGCTGTATGTACCCTGGCCCGGTGGTATTACCCTGGGCTTCAGTGGTTTTGAATATGACATGCACCTGGCTTCGTGCTGGGCTGTATGTACCCTGGCTTGGTGGTAACCCAGTCTACCACATTCCAGTCCTGCTTTATAAGCCTTGTGTTTGAAGAGGCTTTTTTTCTTGACAATTGTTTTGGTAAACTTTCTAATACTTTTCCAATATTCCACCACACTTTCTTCAATTTTTGGTGTACAACAATCTGCTGCATCTACTTCCATTTTCTTTCTTACCTATAATCAACCTAGGCTGTAACCCAGTCTACCACATTCCAGTCCCGCTTTATTAGCCTTGTGTTTGTAGAGGCTTTTAAACTTAACATTTGTTTTGGTAAACTTTCTAATACTTTTCCAATACTCCACCACACCTTCAATTTTTGGTGTACGATAATCTGCTTCATCTACTTCCATTTTCTTTCTTATCTATAATCAACCTAGGCTGTAAACCAGTCTACCACATTCCAGTCCCGCTTTATTAGCCTTGTGTTTGTAGAGGCTTTTAAACTTGACATTTGTTTTGGTAAACTTTCTAATACTTTTCCAATATTCCACCACACTTTCTTCAATTTTTGGTGTACAACAATCTGCTGCATCTACTTCCATTTTCTTTCTTACCTATAATCAACCTAGGCTGTAACCCAGTCTACCACATTCCAGTCCCGCTTTATTAGCCTTGTGTTTGTAGAGGCTTTTAAACTTGACAATTGTTTTGGTAAACTTTCTAATACTTTTCCAATATTCCACCACACTTTCTTCAATTTTTGGTGTACAACAATTGTTAATGTTCTAAAAAATAAATAAATCATTTTTAGTGTATAATAACGCGTCGAGATATGTGAAAGGTTGGTTATGTATCAATAGTATGACAATGTTCTTATTAATGCGAACAAAGAACTTACAGTAACGTCTGATAAAGCCTGCGAAGCCAGCTGAAAGGGAAACAGACAAGAGACAAGTTATATCACTAAGTAATAAGCTGTTACAGTAATTGAAGTACAGTGATTATAGTGATAAATACAATGACGATTAACATCCTGTGAATTTTGGGGAAAACCCCAAAGTGAACTTCAGTTATTGGGAATACAACAGAATAATGCATTTTATTAAGTGGTATTAAACAATATAGAAAAGAGTAGGAAGGGGAATGAGTAGGAACAATGTGTGACAAAGTTAACATATGTATTATAACAAACATATTAAGTAGTTTTAGCTCACCCTTTCTTTGGATCGCCATCCACGTTTATGTACTTTATTTCTTGCGTCATGCAAGAAGGCCTGGCTTGCTGTAGCCATGGCGTGTAATATTTCTTTTTCCGGGCAGCTTGCACTTCGGAAATGTGAACACAAAGCACCTACAAATATGTTAATACAGTAAAGTTGACTTACTTTGAACCGTCGAGTAAAATTTGTACTTACTTATACCAAATTTACTTCTGGTTCCGTGCAAAGTGTAAATGTTCGCGAGTTCCGGCGACAGGATGTATTGAAGACAAGCTTTAGCTGATTTCCGAGTATCGTCACACATTAGGTTGCGTAACCTTGCCACCTAAAATTTATGCAAACACCTTTTACAACTTACGAAATGATCTCGGTATTTTTTGTTATCTAAAGCTGCCTCTAAAGAACGCAACTCCTCATGCGTTCTTAATGGGAAATGTATAGCATCACTATCCATTTCCTCTGTACGCCTATCGATCACACCCATGGCTGAGCGTTGACACAAAAATATGAGTTTGTCTATTTTCGTAGACAGCTCACTGACCGATTTCAGGAGCGTTCTTAACATTTTGTTTGTATCATCGCACAAACTTGTTATAAGGAATACAGTAAATGCAACTTACGGTTTATCAACTTCCGTCGACGTACGTGGAAGTGGTGGTGATGATACGTCAGCTGTCTATGAACTGCTATATGAGTATTGATAAAGTAGGTACAAACCTCGCAATAGGAGAAAACATTCCTGTTGAAATGTTGACCACTGGAAATTCCACCGGGGCAAATCCAGCCTCAACCTCAGCAACCTCTAGTTCTTCCGAGGTGCATAGATAATCATTGTGCTTTCGTTTGACAGTTCTAACACAAATGATATAATAAGTTGAACAATTTACCTTTTTGGTTTTTTAGCGTCACAAGGCTGCGTCTCATCGTTAGTCGTGATGTTAGTATTGTAGCCCAGTACTGTTGCTAAACACACTTTTAATTCCTGAGCTACATTGTAGTCGTCTGAAAACAATAAATGTTAATGGGTTACAACTTACCACAACGATGCATAACGGCACATTTTCTCACGTTGAATCGACTGTCAACATCAATACCCTCAACGATTTCGTGTTCACTGATATCATCACGATAAAGGTAATGATCGTTGGTCAGGAGCCATTTTTTCGGAATACAGACCACTTGCTTGTTTTCCTTATCGTCAACTAAGATGTATTTCCCACTTTGATGCTGTAAATAAATGCGCATGCGTGAAAAATTGTACATTTATTGCATTGATGAAAATTCACTAACACTTCCTGATGGAGAACGCAAAATCACTAACCAACAGACTCTTACTGGCTAAAGTGCTATATTTGCAACAGTCCTTGAGAAATGATGTCAGATCTGCTACTAGAATGTATGCAAAAGAGGGATAATTACCTCATAATGTTGTGTGCGCAAGCACATGCACTTACAAAGTATGTCTGTTACTGTTATCCACGTACATTCGTGGCTTAAGGTAGAACACTTAAACATACCAATATTACTGGATGGAAAAGGGTCGGTATATAAATCGGAAGGATTGTGGAATGGCCGGAACCTAATAAGACCTCCATCACGGATTTCTGTTACGAACCCTGGTCTACCTTTGGCAATAACTACATTGTCCGGCCTTGTAGTAGATAGCTTTGAGTTCCTGTAACTGACCATTAGCTTGGAAGAATTATCAGTTACCTCAGGTTCAGTGACATTGTCAGCCATATCCTGATTCAGTATACTTTGAAAGTAAACTTCTTCGGCATATCGCTGTGCGGCTTGTTTAGCCACAGCAAATCCAGTGTACTGAACGCCTAATTTTTCTCATGTAGGACTCAAAAGGAAATGCTGCGAACGATTCTAAAGTACCATGTTCCATAACGTCGTCTGCAATGTGCTTTAAACTATGCACATTGTAGATTAAGTGTTCGGTACCGTAACACCTTTCGTAACCTAATAAAAAGTTATTAATGTAAACCCTAACACTGTTAGCGAATATGCTATGAAACTTAGGGTGCGATAATAAATAAATGGACAAGGAGAGTGACTGGAAGTTTCTGTACATTGATAATGGTAACCTATTATGAAAAACTACAGGTCCTAAGTATAATAAGAACAACCGACATTCAGTTGCTTTCCATACAGAAACTTCATTAAGTGAACGACGGTGAAACTCTATTTTATGGACGACCTTTGAACGTATTTTTAAGTGACCTTGAGAACATTAGCTAATCAGAAGAGAGTTAGTATAAAATAAAAACATATTAAAAAAACTGATGAATTACAATGATTTAAGAACTTGTTGAGGTTTGATAAAGGTTTAGAAGTTTTGAAATCATAGTGCATGCGGTATAAGAACTCGTCCATATGGCTCCATAATAATCGTCCTCTGGAGCCGTGGTACTTACCCAATCTTCCTTGATAAAAACGTCCTTTATTGTATTTTCGCTTTCTAACTACTGCCTCATCTATTTCCACTATCTTTCCAACTCCTCCAAATGATTCATGTACTCGTGTCATTTTCATTGCGTATATATCACGACAATATTCATACCATTGAACGGCGGAAGTTTCCGTAACATATGCAAAAACCAATTTGCAACGATTATCATGATTTGTCTTAGCCTTAGCCGTGACCGGGCAAAAAAGTGCCAGTTCGAGCAGACTTTTTTCTCCAACATATAGTGCAACGAAATACAATGTTGTCACGGTAGTCTGCACATCCTGCTGCGGTCATTTGATTGCCACAGTCACAGACACAGGAACTTCTTAATAATCACATCTGCTGTAGTCTCTGAACAACCACCTCTTCTTTAAAATCTGCTGTAAATCGATCGAATGTGAGCATCTTGCATTGAACTTGTCGTCGTGACCTTGAAACTCCTTAAACGCTTCTGATTGGCTCGTCCATAAATTAGAGTCCTACCTGAACGACATTTCCGTTGAAAATCGCATGTCGTGTGTTGTCTACATAAGTCTAGTGCATCATTTATTGATGCGATAATTGATTGATCCATCCTATTCAGTCGCTTAATAGCTAGCTCCTTCCATAATGAAACAATTTTTTTGGTAACACCTAAATATATCATATGCATGGGTTCACAAGGGAAACATTTAATCATATCCACTGGCAAATTTTCAAATGAACTTGTGCCACGATGATGGATAGATTGGGACCTACGACGAAAACTGACATCATTTCTTAAGTCGTGTTCACCATTGGGGAAAGTCATTCGACCACCCATTCGCGTCCCTAAAACCTGACATTTGTCACAGCCAGCGATACCATTGTGTCCCACAATGTACTTGACGTTGCTGCGAGCTGGAGCGTCACAAATAACAGCTACTAATTTAACTGTTAAATGTAGATGATACTTATCTACATTAATACCTACTGTCAGCAACTCCTGTAACTCTGTTATAAGTGTTGCTGACATGTCGTTGAAATCAGATGGTTTTACTTCACCACCGTAGATCCCAACTCAGTCAGTCAGCTACAACGTAGGACCAGGCACATATGTGCATCGGTCCAGGTTGCCATACCGCATCAGCACAACAAGATGAACACCGGATTCATAACAGTGGTTAGGTAAAAGGTGGTAATATATAAGAGAAAGATTGCATATAGAGATATAGTACAAGAAGAAAGAGTTGGTTAGTAGAAAGAAAGATATGAAGCGCTTTTAATCTCTTAGTTTAAGGGAAGACAGGGAGTGTATACACCGACGCCATTGTGATCGATTCTGAGCCATGTCACCAAGAGTCTCCAACCATTGGTTACGATAGTCACGCGGACCCCAACCAAGTAGTCTGCATCTACCAACATGGCTCAGACTAGAAGTTAATGACTTCAAACACTGATGCCACGTTTTGGTTTGGCCGCCCCTAACTTTCTTCCAACCATCCCCAACACCGGATAGCATTGCACGTCGTGGTAATCGGTGTTCAGGCATACGTAACACGTGGCCCAACCATCTCAGTCGATGAAGATTCATAACCTCATCAACTGATTTACCATCCTTTCCTAATACCCTGCGTCTAACCTCACTATTACTTACCCGATTATCCCAGCAGACGCCAGCAATATTTCTAAGGCATCTGTGGTCAAATACTAGCAGCTTACGAATGTCTTCTACTCTTAAAGGCCATGTTTCGCTACCGTAAAGTAAAACAGAACGGACTGCCGCGCAGTATACTCGTCCTTTTATTGATAGACGGATATCTCGCCTTCGCCACAGGTGACGTAAGTTGGCAAAAGCCAAACGAGATTTTCGAATCCGTGCTGAGATTTCGTCCGATACCAACCCATTAGGGCTGATCAGACTTCCAAGATAAGTGAAGTTGTCAACGCGTTCGACTACTTCACCAGTAGATCCCAACTACGAAAACACTACTAACTAGTGGAGCTACTATACGACCTAGGATCGGCCACAGCTGTTGGTTAGAGCTTTTGAACAAACATAAACCATCGTAGTTTAACTGCAACTGTAATTCGTTGAAATGGATTCGCCGTAGCCAGTGTCCTGAAATTCTCAAAAGACTGGATTTCAATCCTAAATGGTAATACGTTCCAGAATCTAGGATCTTAGGCTCCACGTCGTTGCATCGACGTAGAACACTTCGGACGGACGTTGGAAGTTCTGGATACCGCGCACGAAAAATGTCCAGTATTTGATCAGCCTTCTTTATGCTTATATAACCCCCTTTCATCATTTCAATGACCATTTTGTCTAACTCGTCTTTCACCGAAAGATGAATGGCTGGGGACATTTCTGAAACCACACAACCTATAAAATTTTAATAATTAAACAGATACTACCGTTGATTGTGTTGTCTGAACACTGGACGTGACTACATGAAGCGGTAGCTGTATCTGTGACAATATTAGCCCACTGCTCTGTAGCTACGTTAGTACGCGATTCTGTGACGACAACTGGATTGTCTGTCTCTTCGTCACAGCTCGGTAACTGACACTTCTTTATAAACTGTCCTTTTATTTTCCTCAACCTTCTGTAATAGGTTGATCGGGAACAGCCAAACAACCTAGGGTATTTCGTGTCTGCTGCCCGCCTTTTCGCAATTTTATCGAGCTGTCTATTATTATTCTGAAAGATATAATTCACTTAAGTAAAAGTGAACATAGACAGCGACCAAATTTTCCGACCTGCACT